TGTTTTTTGGTTTGGTTCTCTTTTTTTAATGAAAAGAGGGTTAACACACAGATAAGCTTTTCTTCTTAACCCCACCCTCACACCCACCACAGGCGAGCTAGCCAACGAACCCAAAGATTCCCTCCTCCTCATTCAGCCTGGAAAAGCTTAGCCACACACCATTCCAAGCCCAGGAAACAAAAGCCTTTCATTTTCAATGACCTGCTTAGGATGGAACCAAAAGGCATCTGCCAACATTCAGTAATAAACCTGTTGAAGCCTGGACCAGCCCCTTCCAAACCTAAATCTCTTGGATTACCTACTAGCATAGGATCCCTGGTTCTGCAGATCTGAACCTCTTGGCCACGCTTCAGCAGGCCACGGGACAAATCAGCATAACAGGCACTTCTTCTAGCGAAGGTTCTCTTTCTCACTCTGTTTACCATCTATTTTCACTTATATACTGCATGCCTCCTGGGACAGTACAGCAAGGCTGAGAGAGTTGTGCCTTCTGGGCCCAAGAGGCTTCTGGGAGCCAGAGGGAAAGGAGGTAAACAAGACTCCAGGAGGAAAAGCCAGACGGCAACAGAAAGAACGGAGGGAGGAAACGAGCAGTGGGGTCTCAGTGGCCCTGCCAGAGAGAGGGTGGAGGGGAGGCCGAAGTGACAGAGGCAGGCTGCTGGGGCGTGACTGAGCTCGGAAGTCCCACAGGAACCATGAGCTGGAGCATCCCTGAGCTCAGCCAGGTCACCCTTTAGGCGATCCTGGAACCTGGGTGGGGACAGAGGCCGATCCCAGTGGAGCCACAGAGAGAGCAGGAAACATACCTGGAAAGACAGGAAATCCCAAATTGACAAAACTCCCACCTCTCATGACCCCAGCTTTTGTCTGACTGCACTATAGTATAGAGAGAAAGAAAGAGGGATTGAGAGCTCGGGGGAGGACAGAGTTCGAAAGGGACAGAAAGTGGAAGTAAGAGTTTTTCGACACTCAGGCCCTCAGTGCCCTAGACAAGAACCACCACGGTAACATCAGCAGAAGTAGCGTAATTCCCAGCAGCACACGAGGAAGTGTAAAAGTATGAAACAAATTCTTTTTCGATCAGGGTGTTGTGCTCTAAATTCTCTCAGGTCAAAGGGACTCCCCCCAGATCTCAGAGTTAGCATCTAAATCAGTACCCGCACAGGACTGGCCCACCTTCCTCCAGACAGAGAATCGGACATTCACTGTTAAACGTGAGGCTCTGGGCACACAGCAAAGGTCCAGGGACTGAGTTCTAAATCTGATTTTGCCAGACCCATTCTCTTGTGGGTGTGATCCACACGTACACAAGGATTCACGAGTAGCTCAGGTCAGGGAGGAACCCAAGAGAGATCCCCTGGCCGGGGCACCTTGTAAAGGGTGTGGGTAAATGAACCTAAAAGTGGGTCCCTTCAGTATTTTGGGCCACAGCCCCCAGTGTGTTTTTCCCTTGGAGATAACACTCCTCCACCCACCTGTCATGGTAGTCGTGAGGAATAACAAGTAGGCTGGGATGAAGAATATTTTTAACTGTGGAGTTAGAAATGCTGACTCATCATATCACCATTGCCATCACCATCATCATCAACTCCTACTCAGGGAGCTGGTTTTCTCTAGTCAGGAAAGCGAAGCTCTGGACCCAGGTGTCTGCAAGGCCGGCAGTGGTGACCTGGGAGCGCGTCGTCCCTGTCCCTCCATCCCACCTGTGACCCTGTTCACGGGCCTTAGGGCAACGCACCATAGATTCCCAGAACAGACAGGGCAGGGAAGACATGAACCGAGCAATCGGGACTCATACTGGCACATTCTCTCAGGCGTCCCTCCTAGCATCCCTCAGACAGGAGACATTCTACATTGCCATTCATTGGCATCGCTCATTTATTTATTCAATAAATATTTATTGAGCTCTTACTCTTTGTGAGGACATGTGTTATGAGTGAAAACCTGAGTCACAGGTAGCACTGCACTTCAAGGGCGCGCTGCTCAGTCCCCAGTTCCCACCTCTGCTAGTCTTAATGTGAACAATGCATCAGAAGGACATGGGTGGGGGAAAAGGCTACTTTGTCCTTTAAAATGCCAGGAGTCCTAAAGATACTAGAACCCGCGGATAAATAAACCAGGAATTAAGAAACCCCCAAGGCAACTGAAGGCAAACAAGACACTCTTTTGATTTTCAGCCCAGACACTGGAGTCCCATGAAAACATGAGAGGATTCTGTTGGTTTTAACTACACGCATCTGCTGCTTGGTTAACGGAAAAGTCCCCCATTGTAAAGCTCTTGGGGGTAAATGAAGTATCCCCCAGAGGTATAGATGAAGCCACATGAAGAAATCCAATTAACAAGGAAATTCGGCGAGTGTAAGCCATCCCATCACCACACAAGCCCTCATTCCCAACTTGCTACATTGTTACATTGATCATTTTACAGATGAGCCTGTGAATATTGTTTCGTGAGCCACCCCAGCAGCAATGCAGGAAAGAAGGAAAGAATCTTGACCCCTAGAAACCCTATTCTCCCCCCTACACACACACACACACACACACACACACACACACAGAGGGAGACAGTGCAGCAGAGATGTGCATGAAGTTTGGGCTCTGAGGTCAGAGGGGTCTAAGTTTGACGACTGTCCCATCCCAACACTTACTGGCTACGTCACGTGGATGAATTACTTAACTTTTCTGAGTCCTCGCCAACTCATCCTTAACGTGTGCATGATAATACCTGTTCTGGATAATGATTACAGAGCACCTAACTTGGGCTTTGACGCATACAAAGTGATCAATAAATATCGATCCCCACCCTGTTGTAGCTCCTAGAGCTTCAGCCTCAGGATGGTCTACCCTCTCCTGTGTCCTATTTCTTCCTTCTCCTGTTTGGTTTGCTGGTCCTTCTCAACTGGCAAAGGCTGAGCCGAGTTCTCACAACAGAAGACGCTCAGCATCTTGGATTCATTTATTAAATATGTATTTATTATGCCCCTCCCATGTGCAGTCTGCTGCATTAGAGTCAATGCTGGATACAGAGATGAATCAGATATCAACCCCACCTGTGGAATCTTTATAGTTAGGAGGGAAGCCAAACTTCCTGTACCACACAGAGCAATGCACAGCTTAAGAAAAGTAGATCAAGTGTTGCAACTCAGAGAAACCAGAAGCTAGTTCCATCTGGGACAATTAACGAAGACTTCTCAGAGGCAGTGCCACAGAGGGTAGGCTTTAAGCACTGGTGGGGCTTAGATGTATGAAGATGGGTGGAGGGCATTATCAGCAGGGTTATGGTAGGAAAGGGAATGTAGGCAGGAAAGCCAAGGGTTTATACAAAACTCAGACTGGCATCATGTCTGGGATACGGGTAGGATAAAGGAAAAACAAAGTTGGAAATCACAATGGCATCAGACTGCCCAGGATCTCAAAGGCCAGCCCAACACATTTGAGTATTATGTGCAGACCATGGGATTCAGTGAAGCCTCAGAAGCAGAAAGACCATAAGGCCCATTTGAATAGAATCTCTTCACCGCTTTTCCCTATGATTAGCCTGATTTCATCCCCCCCCACCCCCCACGACACCCACACACAAGGGGCTCTGTGGTCCAGACTGCACTGCCCTCCAGGGTCCTGCCTGAGCAGAAGGTCAACTGTGTCCACTGCAGAAGTGTCCGATGCCACCCTTTCAGAGGGTTCCTGAGCTTTCCCTTGCAGTTGGAGTACACGGAAGGAATCTACGCTGATGTCATAAATGAACAGCACAATCTGAACCCAAAGTCACAAGGCCTTTGCAACCCCGGTCATAATTTCTGCTACTTATCCATGTTTCTGTTAATAGCATTATAATCCCTTGTCCACTGCTGGGAGCCGTTCTGAATTTATCATTACAGGTGCACAATGTTATAAGAACAGTGAGGAAACTTTCAGGCATACTAACAGTTCTCAAGAGAAGACATGAGATCATAAGTAGTTTTCAGAACTAGAGGGAGAAATATCACTGCAGCAGGGAAAGGAAAAAAAAAAAATACATACACACAGTTATATGTTCACCGGCTTCTTAAAACGCTACAAACCAGACTGAGTTCCCTGGAAATCTACAGACAATGTAGGCCATTTATTGGAGAGTATCCGTTTTAATTATCAGTCCCCTCATCTGCACCATTCAATGTGGTTTGAATGGCCTACCTTCCCATGTCCCATATTCATCCTACAGAGGGGGAGAAAATGCCAACGAAAGCCAGGAGAAGGGGAGAGTCAAAAGAAATAGAAATAGGGGAGAACACCGAGGGAAGGCAGCAAAAAGCATAGAGGAGAGAAGGAGCAGGAGAGTGGAGACGAAATCCGCGCTGCCGTTGGGCATATCCATCCCCTGCCTGACTGCCAGCGGACCCAGCACAGCACCAGGTGTGTCTGAGTGAGTGACCAGAGCCAATTTAATGCACCAGGAACCCGATCTACCCTAAGAGCTGAAGCTACGAAGCTGAATAAGGTCAGGCCTCTGCTCTTCACCAGCTCAGAGTTTAGATGGGGAAACTGATCAGCAAACAAGTGGACAGCGGCACAATGGGCAGAAATGCCACACGAAAGAGAAAGGAGATGCTGAAAAAGCTTTGAGAGCCCCCGGGGAGAGAGAAAGGAGATTCTTGAGAGGTGTGCTGTTTGTGTGCCTCTAGGTAAGCCACGGGACCTCTCTCAACCTCATCTCTAAAAAGCGATGGTTTGGCTGCCCGTCTCTCAAGGTCGTTTTGTCAGCCAGTGAACCGGTGGCTGAAGATCCGCCCTGCAAACTGAAAAGTCCTGTGCCAAAGTTTCAGATGGCTATTCCCTCCGCTCACCTGAGCAAAGGCCTGTTCTGTGCCCACTGCACACAGCACCAGGACTGGGGGTGGTCATCTGAGCACCGACTCCTCTCTGGCTTCTCCTTGTCCCTCTAGCACCCCAATCTGCCTTTCCACCCCCTCTGTCCAAGCACCCACAAATACACAACCTGGAAAAGAAGATCAAACACTCACCAGCGTCAGGTTGCCTCCAGCCTTGAAGTCCGCGGAAGGCAGCGGGCAAGGGCCTGGCGCGGGGTGGGGTGGGGTGGGGGGCACTGCAGGGTCTGAGAGCCCCCCCGCCCACCCCGTGCCAGCACTGGCCACCTCTCCGGGCAGCCTCAGCCTTCTTGCCTCCCTTCACCAACACTTTGCCGCCTGCTTCTCTCCACGGAGTGCAGGTGCTCGGCTGTCTCGTCTCTACTCTCCTCCCCATTTGGGCATTGGTGCTTCTCCTCTTGGAGATGTTTTCTCGAATCTCCTGGAGGGTGTGTGTGAGGGCCCCTGGAGGCCGCTGACCCTTGGAGGCGCTCTCAGGCCCTAGCCCTCTTTCTCCGCCTCTCCCCTCCCTTCCCCTGCTCCCCACCCCCACCTGCCCCGTCTCCCCTTCATTCGAATTCCGCAATGCCCCCCTCGTCCCGCTCCCTATCTTCAGGCCCACCTTTCAGTCTGATCTCGCACCCCTGGCCCGCATCCCGGACCCTGCCTAGCACCGCGGGGGCAGCGCTGGCCTGTCCGTTTCCCGCGCGCCCCCGGGTCTGCCGGCCAAGTTCCCGCGACTCCCCGCCCGGGATGCGCGGTGGCTCCGGACTCTGCTCGGCAGCCGATGACGTCACTGAGCCTTGCGCCCGTGATTGGCTAGTTCTGGGCCTGCGGCGGGAGACTTTGGCCGACTCTCAGGGCTGCTTTCTTTGTCCCCCGGCGTCTTCAGGTGGAGCTCGGGAGCCGGTCCCTGGCGCGTGCGGCGTGTGTGCGGCGGGTGCAGGGGCCACCGGCCGGGAAGACTAGCGGTGACTCAGGCCCCGGGGTTGGCTGTGGCGGGCAAGGAGCAGAGCCGGGGGGGATCAAGCGGGCAGCGGCCGGGTGCCCCCGAGAGTCCCAGCTGCGCGCTAGCATAGCAGGTGGCCGCGGGGGCTCCCAGGCCTGCAGGAAGTCGTAGGGGCCTCAGCTGGAAAGCAGCAGAGCTCTGCACTTGGGATCAGGCTTACATTTCCAGTCTTCGCTCTTCCGTTTGTATGACCTTGGGCAAGTCACTGCAGCCTGCTTCCACGCTGCAAAACAGGAACCAGCGCGTTTATTCCACAGGTCTACGAAAAGGGTTAAGAGTAAACTAATTAAGAGTAATCTAACTGTTAGATCTGTTGTTATTTTAGTAGATAATATGGTGTAGCCGAAAGGATCCTGGATAAAGAATGAAAAATATTCCTTTATCTTTACTGGGATGACTTTCACCAAAGTGACTTTTAACCTCTGTAGGTTCCATTGTCCTCATCTGTAAAGTGGGAGAACCGGACCAGAGGACCTTTAAGGTCTCTTCTGGCTCTGACGTTGTATGACTGACTGGTAAAACTTAGCATCCTCCTTTTATCCCGCCTTCGGAGAAGAGCTCACTTCCTTCTCTGGAACTCTCATTAAATCTCTCCCCGTTGTGAGAAACCCACTTCTCTTAGGGATCCTGGCAAACCTGCTTTTCACTAAGGGCCTGCCCTCTCCCCGCCCCCAACCACCGAAGTGTCCCAGACCATAGCAGCAAATATGTAGGGCTCATCCTTGATGGAGATTCTCTCCCCAGGCTACTGGCAGGAGCAGGATTTGGAGCTGGGAACTCTGGCTCCACTCGGCGAGGCCATCAGCTCCACAGTCTGGAGCAGCCCTGACATGCTGGCCAGTCAAGGTGAGAATCCAGGCCCCTCATCTCAATGTCCCTCGGTCCCCTCCACCATCCTCACATCATCTCCCACTCATGTTGCCTCTGCCCTGTGTGCTCACACCCCTCATTACCACGCAGCTCCATCTGACATCTTAGTCCTTAGTTCCACACCACCAACTTCTCTCGCACCCACACCTCTTCCCTACTCCAGTGTAGAGCCCTCTCTATCCCCTCCACCTTTTCCCCCCAAAGTAAAATGACTCCAGGAGGAGGGTATTACTCAGAATAAAGAGGTTCTGGAAGACACAACCTGAGGTAGAATTCTTCTACCCACAGATAAGGGGATCGCTCGTCAAAACTTGGTATAGAGTGAGCGGTAAATGACAGGTTTCCCAAACCTTTCGTTCAGATGCTTCAGGGATAAATCACGTCCCAGTTTATTCAGCCAGCTCCATCTCTGGCTCACTAATCTTGAAGTCACCATTTAAATTTTCAAGCCAGGCAGTTACTTGAGGAACATTCCCATGAAAAGGCCACTGCATTGAGAGTCGAAGAGCAGGGGCGCGGTCCCCATGGGAGTCCCCGGTTAGCAGAACGATCGTAGGCAATCATTCATGTCCATGGCCTCATTGTCTACATCTATAAAATGAGGGAATTGGATTCCATGATCCCTAAGCTCCCCCTCAGTTCTGTTATTATTCTAAACACCAAAACCAGCAGCCAGACTTTGTGCTCCCACGTGGAGACGGACACCCCAAAGCACCCGTGCTTCTTACCAAGCCCAGCACATGCCACCTTCTCTCCTTGGGGCCCCTTCTCTGCTAGGAGCATCCATTATGTATTTCTTGGAAACGGAGCTCTGGTGACCAGGGAGGAAAGGAATAACAGAGAGGGCAGGGGTAAGGTCAGTGCCAGGGGGAGAATGGGGACTATTTAAAACTACTCAATTAGGTAATGCAGGAAGTAAGTTTCTTGGCTTCCGATTAAGAGAATAATGCTGCTGCACTAGCTTAGCCCCACCGGAGGGATGGTGAAGATGCTTCAGAACCAGCTGGAGGGTGTTGTGGATTTTAGTCCCGCAGAGGCTGCTGCTCTCCCGTCGCAGAAAGTCAGTCCCAGAGACGAGGGACTGAGCATGGGGAGCAGAAGCCATGCTGTGGGGAACATGGAACAATGTCGAGGGGGAGGGCTCCCGACCAGGCCAACTAGAGGGCCCCTCCCTAGGATACCTTGCCTGTCCTTTGTTTGTTTGTTTAATTTGGTTAAGAAGAGAAGGGTGAGAAAGTATTTCCATCGCATGGCAGGGAAAACTTTAATCCTTTAAAATAACAGGAGGGGGGTGATTTGGGTTGGTGTGTTGAGAAGACGGTTGTCCTGGTACCAAAAGAGTGTCAGCTGATGATGAAGGGAAGTTATTGTGGGAGGAAGTAAAGTCTATGCCAAAATGTTTCAGCTTTTCTTTCTTTCTTTCTTTCTTTCTTTCTTCTTCTTCTTCTTCTTCTTCTTCTTCTTCTTCTTCTTTTTTTGAATCTTTTTGGTTCCTTATTCCACAGTTTTATCAGCTCCCTCTTATGTAAATGAATGTGGGACCCAAGGCTGACTTGGCCTTCTCCTCACTTTTAGTTTGGGGATTACTGGTCTCAAGCGCCTCTCCCATCCTTGCTCGTAGAGGCAGGCGGAGGCAGGGAGGCGGAGCGTAGACTGACAGGTGCGTGTGCGTGCTTTCAAAGTGAACGGCAGCGCCTCTCAGGAGAGTTGCATGTGCGGTGCTCTGTGTAGATCGGGACGCCTGTGTTCCCCTCCACTCAGCAAACATTCAACAAATGACTGTTTTTCTGTGTATTGCAAGCAAGAGGAAATAAGGTCTGTCTCCCCTTCCCCACCACCTCTGCTCCTTCTCCCACGATGCCTTAAGAGAACGCAGACACGGGCACCTTGGACCGTCTGGGTTAGATGAGGCACGCTTTGGCCCAGAAGCGGGTGGAGGGGCCGGGCTTCCTCAGGGCGCTGACCCTCTTGCGCTCCTGCAGATAGCCAGCCCTGGACGTCAGATGAGACCGTGGTGGCTGGAGGGACGGTGGTGCTCAAGTGCCAAGTGAAGGACCACGAGGACTCGTCTCTGCAGTGGTCCAACCCTGCCCAGCAGACTCTCTACTTTGGAGAGAAGAGAGGTACTGCCACAGGTCTCCTCTCTCCAGGGGAGCTGTGGACTGGGGCGGGGGTCCGCGGAGCCCAGGGCAGCATGTGCCTGGGGTGCGAAGGCTGGGCACCTGGAAGGTGTGCTGTTTGAGGAGGCAACAAGCCAGGGACTCATCTGCACGCTCCAGAGAAACCATGGTGTTACAGCTCCGACCTGAGCCGTGCACCGTCCTCCGGGGGCGACACCTCAAAGCAGCCCTAAGACTTAGCTGGTGTCAAGTGTTGCCCCAAGTACTTCACAAGGCACCCCCACGAGATTCAGGCCTACTTTTCTGAGCATCCCTGAGGCCACTGTGCCTGCCCAGTGGCTCAGGAATGTGACGGCGTAAAGAGGGCTCAAACTCAGGAGGAGTTCCCCCACCCCAAACCATGCTGGAGCCCTTCTCCCAAAGACTCTGGCCTGGAACTGGAAGATGACCGTGAAAAGTGCCAGTAAAAGCCCTGCTCCCCGTTCTCCCAATGTCCCCAGCCCTTCGTGATAATCGGATCCAGCTGGTTAGATCCACTCCCCATGAGCTCAGCATCAGCATCAGCAACGTGGCCCTGGTGGACGAGGGCGAGTACACCTGCTCCATCTTCACCATGCCCGTGAGGACGGCCAAGTCCCTCGTCACTGTTCTCGGTGAGGCTCCCTAACCCCAGGGGCTCCGCAGCATGCCACTTTGCAAACACAAAGGTGAGCCCCCGAGGCAGTCAGAGGCCCAGCGAGTCTCTGAGCATTAGGGGAAACTTCAGTTTGTGCTTCCTTTGCAATGGAACAAAATGCAGAGTACGGGGTTCTGATCCTTTCTGCTCTACTTACTGTGTGCTCTGGGAGGAATCTCTTACTCCCTCTGAGCCTGAATTTCCTAAACTATGATAAAAAAGATGCTGACGTCTATCCTGCATACCTCCTAAGACTGTATGAGGGAAACACGAGAAGTCTTTGCAGTGTTGATTCTAAGGTCCAAGTACCCTCCTGCTGCTTATGTGCTCTCAGCTGGGTCCTGTGTTTCAGTTTCCTTCTGTGCTCCCCTGGGCTTTACATCCTTTCTGTAGCCAGCCAGTGGTGCTGTGGGATGCCGGACTACGTACTAGATCTTCCCTGTGGGTTCTTAGGGAGGAGATGGGAGAAAAAGATGATTTCTCTAGTCTTCTACCCATTCTAACCCGAAGTAGGACTCATGCATCCTGAGTCCCTGAGAGGCCATCTCTGCAGGCAGAGCTGAGGTCACCTCATGGTGCCTCTCCTTCCTATCTTGGCCGTCCCCCTTCCATGGCAGGAATCCCACAGAAGCCCATCATTACTGGCTACAAGTCATCATTACGGGAAAAGGAGACAACCACCCTAAACTGTCAGTCTTCTGGAAGCAAACCTGCAGCCCAGCTCACCTGGCGGAAGGGCGACCAAGAGCTCCACGGTAAGTTCTCCCTGCTTTGGGGCTCAGGGGGAGAGGGTAGGATGGGTGAGGAAGAGAGGGGTACATGTCTGCGTGTGCATGCATCAGCATGGTGTAGGAGAAGGACAGGTGTTTTGTGCACACTTGTGTGTGTGTGTGTGTGTGTGTGTGTGTGAGTGTGTATGTTAGGGCCCACATTCTCCCTGTGTGTACATCACCATTTCACAACTTTCTAAGTTTGTCTAAGTGGAGACTCGCCATCTGTATGCCTGCCGTGGGCCCACACTGTGTCTGTATGTTAGGGCTCACGCTGTGTCTGTGTGTATGCGCGTGGACGTGTCTGTTGTTACTCCAGGAGAACCAACCCGCGTTCAGGAAGACCCCAATGGTAAAACCTTCACCGTGAGCAGCTCAGTGACATTCCAGGTTTCCCGGGAGGACGACGGGGCGGACATCGTGTGCTCTGTGAACCATGAGTCTCTAAAGGGAGCTGACAGATCCACTTCCCAACGCATTGAAGTTCTATGTATGTGGTGGGCTTGTGGGTGAAGAAGGGTCAGGTATGAAATGGGGGTAGGGGACAAGAGCGCGCGTGGCTACGTGCAGCACCTCGCGCAGATGAGCGATGAGTCCACGGATGATGCCACCAGGCTGAGGGTCAGCAAGCTTCTTGGGAGAGGGCCCAATAGCAAGTATTTGAGGCTTTGGGGGGGGTCACACGGTCTCTGTCTCAACAACTTAATTCTGCTGTTGCTGCAGGAAAATAGCCATAAACTTTATGTCAGCACATTAGTGTGGCTGTGTTCCCATAAAGCTTTATTTACAAAAACACACAGCTGGCAGGATTTGGCCCCAGGGCAAGTTTACCAAGTCCTGAGCTAGGCCAGGGATGTACCGCTAGATTGTGAGCTCTGGCGGCCACTGTAACAAGCCGGGAATTAGAAGACGCGGGGCTGGTCTCCCCTTCCCCTTGCCCCCCACCGCTAGGGGCTGTGCTAGCTTAAGGAAATGGCTTCATCCAGTGAGCTGGACTCTTTCTTTCCTCTAAGAGAAGATGAACCTGGTGATCACTAAGGCTTCTTCCTAGACCAACACACTGTGATTTCAGGATCCCAGATTTTCCCTGTGGTCCCCCAAAACCCGAGGGTTCTCGGGTTTCTGACCTACAATGACCACTGTCACAGTCCCTACTCCAAGCCTTTCCAAGGGTCCTCATTTCTCTGTGGACTCTGCCTTGAGTATAGACAGGAAACTTTCACCCTCTCATGAGAAACTGTAAATTTTCTGAGTGTGGGAACCAAGAAAAAAGAAAAAGTGCAAAGACAGAATACAGAGAATCATAAAACAATGCATTTCTTGTCCTAACTTCTCTAGAGGCTTGTCATTATCCTCGAAGAACTCAACTGCTTAACCTTCTTTTTTACGGAAGATCCAGGACTGACTCTGGTGCCCTTTAAAATCGCTAGACCCCTTGCTGAAAGCTGAACGTGAGGCAGGTTTCCAGGGATGTCCCTTTCCATTTGGCTGCCGACGGCCCGGATTCTTGTGGTGGGACTGCTGCTGACTGGCTATGCCTCTTTGACCACAGTTTGCCCTCTCCCAGGGGCCGCTGCCTGCTTCACCGATTAGCATGAGGGTCAAGGGGAAGACACCGAGGAAAGAACTCAGCAGACTTCAGAGTTCTCAATCACCCTAAGGTGTTTCTCTGCTGATCGGTTATGCATGCGGGGCCCCTGGCCTTGGGGTCCTTCCTTCAGGCCCTGGTCCCCCCTCCCATGTCCGAACCCCACAGACTTCCCTGCCAGGTACTAGATCCTCTGGCGCTGACTCTCGAGGCCCAGTGGTGATCAGCAGTCAGTTAACAAGCGCTAGACTCCAGGCAAGGCGCTAGAGGTTTCGATGGGGGTGGGGCCCCTGTATTCTCACCTGGCCTGATTCTCTTTGTCCTGTTTGATTTGACGGAAACATGTTCATAAGCAGGTGGTTAAGGTTGGCTCTGTCCCGCAGGGGAAGCTCAGCCCCTTTATCTGTTGTTCTAAACCAGCCTCTGGCTGTATTTGAGCAACCATCTGGCCCTAGCCTCCTAGCAGCCCTCTGGTGCCCATGGCAGACGCCATCCTTTCTTCCCAGAGCACATCTCTGCAGCCTAAATATGACCCCCATCTCTTGTTGTTGGGAAACTCTCCCTTCACTTTTGCTCTGACCCTGAAAATGATACTCGGCGTTCGCAGGCTGTTCCCTAGGAGCAGAGGAGAGAGGGTGTGGAGATTGTGAGCTCAGGAAACGACCCAGGTCAAGTTCACTGCTCCATCAGAAATGTGCATGAAGTCCCACTTCTGTGCCAGGCCCAGGTGAACCAGGGGCCTTTCTCGGCTCTCTGTTAGGACACCCCTTCGGTGTCCACCACAGACAGAGCTTCAGAAATCCTACCTCTACGGGGTTGCGATGCAAATCCCGTGCACATTGAGTAGTAACCATGGATTTTGCTCATGAGAGATTGGGGCTGGAGGTCTGTGTCCCCAGCCCTGCCCACGCCTGAGACAGGTAGGAGTTAAAGCCTTAATACACAACGGGGTGATGGCGGGACTGTGGTCCTTGGTCTTCTCCTGGACGGTGTGGCAATGGTGCACTGACATCATTTCCTTCTCCACAGACACACCCACGGCGAAGATTAGGCCAGACCCCCCGCACCCCCGCGAGGGCCAGAAGCTGCTGCTCCACTGTGAGGGGCGTGGCAATCCCGTGTAAGAAGATCTGCTTCCTGGCCTGACACCTCCACACCTCAGACCCTGAGCTTCCCTTAGAGTCTCCCCATTTCCCCCCTGTTCTCAGCCTCTCGCTTTCCCTGACCCTGCCCTTCACCATCCATCCCTGGAGACTGCATCTCCTGCAAAGCAGCAGAAGAGGGGCCCTCCCCAGCTGCCCCCGAGGTCCCCATGGGAACCCCCAAGACACAGCCAGACATGAGTTAGGAAACCACCCTCATCCTGGGGTCAAATCCCGAAGCGTCACCCCTCCCTTCAGCAGCTTGTGCCTGGGGCCCCTGTAGCCCCTGAGCCTGGGTCAAACCATCATTGAATTCCTCCTCCCAGGTATTTTTTTTGTTGTTCCCTTTAGCCCCCTGACCTGCTCGCTCCCAAACATGTGTGATTCCTCTGCCTCTACAGCCCCCAGCAGTACCTGTGGGAGAAGGAAGGCAGTGTGCCCCCACTGAAGATGACCCAGGAGAGCGCCCTCATCTTCCCCTTCCTCAACAAGAGCGACAGCGGGACATACGGCTGCACAGCCACCAGCAACATGGGCAGCTACAAGGCGTACTACACGCTCAACGTGAATGGTGAGCCCTCCCAGCCCTCCCTGGGCATCCTCCTCGCCTGTCTGCCCACCCCACGCTCTGTGTCTCCCTCTCCTGAGAGCAGCCCTCGCTGTGCCTTGAGGGCAAGAGGGCCGACCGTGGGAGTGTGGTACTTGGGCTCTAGGTCTGCTCTAGGTCTGCTCTGGAATGTGCAAGACGGAAGCCATCAGAATGGTGGGCTCTGGTGAGCCCTAGTGGTGCACCTGACACCATCCTCCCACCCCTACTCTCCCCGGGGAAGCAATAAACTATGCCTCTGTGTGGAGAGGCCCCGGAGTCTCGCCAGGGCCGGTGTGGGGGTTCCCCTCTCCACGGGCCTGTCTCAGGGCTGCTATTCTGGTGACCAGCATGGGACCGGCGTGTCACTGCCACTTCCTGGCCGCAGACAGGGTAGGGTGGGTTCAGGCAGAACGCAGACGCCCGTTGGTATGATGCTGAGACACAGGCCACTTTCTCTGATGCCTTATCTCCCAGAGACACCAGTGATGCTTCTTCTCTGAAATTCTTCCCACAGCTGTGACCACAAAACCTCAGGAGCAGTGACAGGCTGGCACAGAGGTCCCCTTATTGGAGAGCGGGCAGAATTTTTGAAGATCCTAGTGGCAGCAGGGTCCTGCCAGAAAACCTTACAAGCTCTGAATAGGGGAAATGCGTTGTTGGGGGAACACTAGAGGCTCCCTTACCAGAAATGCCCATTCAGTCAGTGAGGTGACAGATAAGAGACCTGAGACCTTGGGACCGGGGTGTTTGTGCAGATGGGGTGATTCGGACTCCAAGGACAGAACTCAGCACGTGGGAGCTGCCTCAGCACCACAGACAACGCTGGTGTAGGATGTCAGCAGCGAGGACCAGTGTCAGCCCCCAGAGCTCCCCCGGCCAATTCTGAGGGTGACTACCAGGGTGGTGAGAGAGAGTTCGTGGCCCCTGCGGTTGGTGGTCGGTCTCCCGGCCCCTCCCCCACGGTCCCGTCTCACTGCGTCCTCAGCCAGTGCTGACACCCGGTGGTGGGAGGAGGCTCTGCAGCTCCTTCCCCAGGGCCTCCAGAGCAGCCCCGACCCTCTCAACAGGGAAGGGAAAACAGGGAGTTCCAGCAGAGACAGGGATCTGCAACTGATGACCCCAGAGGTCATTTTGGCCATGGGAAGCTCTGTTTTTCTGAGGGATTTCCCTTTCCATAGCCTCTGGAACAATAATCCAGGATGATGATGATGATGATTTTTTAATGTGAGACTGTGTGCACCTACTGCCTGGGAGAAAGACAGGGGCGACGTCCCTCTGCTTCTTCCCACTCAACACTTTCACACCCACCCCACCATATCATGGAGCCCCTAGGCCCATCCTCTCCCTCCCTCCCCAGCAGAGCATAAAAAATCAGAACATAAATGTTTTCTTTTCCAATTAGGCGTAGACAGTCAAGGAACGAAAAAGCTGGCCCAGTCAAGCTCGAGGAGACGTGAGGCAGGAAAGACAAAATATATAAGGAGTCAGTGAGGCATCAAGACTCAAGCTGACTCTGTAGGAAAACAGTAGCCTTCCCATGGGTGGGACAGGTACACCTATGGCTCATGTAATTTTGGACACATCAGAACTGTCCTGGGCCTGGGCGCTGTCTCCTCGGGTATTTGGGACTTGGACGAGGCTGGTGTTGTCCTCGTCGTGCCTGGCCCAGTGTGCACTCTGAGGATCTACCCCCTCCCCCACCCTGCCATAGATGCTGCCGTGGAAGGAAGATGGCGGAGACATTGGCCATCATGGGAAGAAGCTCAGGGTGTGGGCAGGGGAGGGGCATCCATGAAGGAAGTCCTTGCCTTTCCCACAAACCTCTCGAGGCTGGGATGTGACACTGGAGTCTGAGGCCCCCCGGTGGAGGCATGCTGGAGGACTGCGATGTAGTTGGACCCCGGAACGGCTCTTCACACCGTGACCTCAGTGCATGGCCTTCTGGGAGGCGCCGTCAGAGTTCCCCTTCACAGCTTCATCGGTGTCTCACTGTCTGGGCTTGGGGCAACGAGGAATAGGCTGGGGGCCCCCTAGAGAGGCCAGCTCTGAAGGGCAAGCAGACAGGAGAGAGAGAGAGAAGGAATAGTCTGATCCCCCCGAAAGTAAAAGCAAGAGCGAGAACAAGAGACGACATGGGTGTTAACGGGATGAATTGGACCAGAGCTTCCGTGCCAGAAACACAGCTGAAAGGGTTGAGTGTGAGCAGATCTGTCAACTTATTCACGAATACACAATTTTTAAGGAGAATTACTGTGTTCCAGACGAGGGGTAAGAAAGAAGGGTGCAAAACCAGGCACGTCCCCTTTGCCGTTCGATTCGGTCCGCTCAACAGATGTCAGCCCGTGTCCTGTGCCGTGTCCTGTGCCGTGTCAGACGGCCCACGGCTGGGCCAGAGATGTGCTAAGACAAGGGCTCTTCCAGGTCTGACTGTGCGCTCCCCCCCGCAGACCCCAGCCCGGTGCCCTCGTCCTCCAGCACCTACCACGCCATCATCGGCGGGATCGTGGCGTTCATCGTCTTCCTGCTGCTGATCCTGCTCATCTTCCTGGGCCACTACTTGATCAGGCACAAAGGTCAGAGGCAGCGGGGAGCCGGGGTGGGGGGTGGCAGGCAGGGAGGCAGCAGGGCGCTGGCTGCCCGACGCTCCTTTGGGGACTCCACTGGCCCTTGGAGGGTGAGAGGAAGAAAGAAGACAGCCAGCCCTGTGATGACTGAGCACCACCAACCCTGCAGTAGAGCCCCATCACTTGGTGGTCCTCCAAGTCAAACGGAGCCTTCCATCTCAGTCCATGCTGCCCCCCCCCCCCGCCCCCGCCCTGCCGCTCTGCCCCCAGGGTCTCCTGCTGAGTGGAGACCTGCCAACTCTGCCACTCCCATCTCTTTCTGCACTGGCTTCCTTTCTCAGCTCTTTGTCCTTCCATCCCGCGGCATCTCTGCTCCTCTCCCGCTTCCATGCCTGCCCACTCCTTAGACTTTCCCCTCTGTGCTACTTCAGCCAGCAGCCCTGCTGCACGGCTGACCCAGACCTCAGCTCCCTGTTCACGGCTGACCTGCAGTTTCCCTGTCCCCACCTAGGGTGTGCATGTGTGCACACACACACAGACGGGAGCACACATGCACAGAGGTACGTACAAGTGCTACACGTACAGGTGCACACACACAAGTGCACACACATGCACACACAGACATACATGCACCTATTGGCACACACCCGTACACACAAGTGCACACGTGCACACTCATACAGACGTGCAGGCAGACACACACGTGTGCACACCCACACACGGGCACACAGGCGTGCACACGCAGGTGTGCGCGTGCACACTTATACAGACGTGCAGGCACATAGGCACACGCGTACACCCACACGCGTGCGCACATACACAAACGTACACGCAGGTTTTTTTCTTGTTCCATGAGTGAGGTTCTAGTTAGGGGCAGCATTCATTCACTATTCAGGAGGTGTGGTCAGGTGATGGGTGTTGGCAGCAAGATGCAGACCCGGTCAGGTGGGGAGGTAGAGAGCTCCAGGCAGGAGAAGTGTTGCAGGAGCAGGGGGCAGAGGGCCGGCAGGGCAGGGGTGCGGGCTGGGCTTTGGAGGAGTGGAAACTGCTCCTGCAACTGACAGGAGGGGTCTCTCTGTCTCTGCAGGAACCTACCTGACACATGAGGCCAAAGGCTCTGATGATGCCCCAGATGCAGACACGGCCATCATCAACGCAGAAGGCGGGCAGTCGGGCGGAGACGACAAGAAGGAATATTTCATCTAGAGGCGCCCGGACACCTCCTGCACCCCAGGGGCCCCACGGGGACTGCTGGGGCCATCACCAACCTGGACTTGTACAGAGCGACCCCAGGGCCGCCCCTCCCGCTTGCTCCCCAGCCCCCCACCCCCTGTACAGAATGTCTGCTTTGGGTGCGGTTTTGTACTCGGTTTGGAATGGGGAGGGAGGAGGGCGGTGGGGGGGGAGGGTTACCCTCAGCCCTTTCCGTGGCTTCTCTGCGTTTGGGTTATTATTATTTTTATAACAATCCCAAATCAAATCCGTCTCCAGGCTGGAGGGGCAGGGCCCGGTGAGGAAAGCAAAACCCTGGAGTGTAGGAGGGGGGCGCGGAGGGGCGAGGACCAGGAGCCAAGCCCAGCTGGTGTGGGGGCCCTCCCCCATCGCCCTCTGTCCTCCACCGCTTCCTGGCCTCCTGGGGGAATGGGGAGGTGGTGAGCAGAAGCTGGAGGGGGCTTTTCCTCTGCTAGTCACGCACCTCAAGTTACGGACAGGGAAGCGGGCCGCCCGGTCACCCCTCCTCCACCATGACAGGAAAGGGGTGAGTGGGCGTCCCCAGGAGGTGTGAGCCAGCAGGTGGAAGGCAGCCACGCAGGGACCCGGGGCTCCCACATGGGAAGGACACAGGTCCCTGCCAGGAGCGGGTAGTTCTGCAGGGGGAGGATGGCAGAGAGGAGCCTGTACCCCTTGCCCCCCATGACGAATGAAGCCCGGCCCCAGGGGGGACTGCTCCAGCAGCTGTGGGAGAGGCGCTGCTCCGGGCCCCTGGCTCTGACCCTCTGACCCGAGCCCTGACTGTCACACGGCAACGCTGCTCCTGTCTTGTGCCGCCTGCCCTGCCCCTTCCCGTTCCCTCAGCAGCCAGGCAGACATAACAACAAAAATACTAAAAGGAGCTTCACTGCACTGAGCTGTGTCCTGCCCAAACGAGGGGAGTAATGTGAACTCTGTGAGTGTGTGGTTCTCGTGTCTGTGCTTGCATCTGTGTGTATATGCACGCGTGTGGAAGAGGGACGGAGGGAGCGCCCAGGCGGGTGGGGGCTGCGGGACGCTTTGCAAAGGAGGGCTTCAGGCGGGGAGGGTTCTGATTTGGGCTGTGGACCTCACCTGGGCTGTGGCTCCATCCCCATGTGTCCCAGGTCACCCTCGGTGCCCATCTATCATGGAGAAAACAGTCCCAGGGTGTGTTTTGCTCAGTTGCCCATCTCATCTGTCCCGAAAACACAGAGCATTCAAACCCTGCCTCAATTTCCCTTCTCAGAGCCACAGAGTCAGTGCTACAGCCTTTGCTATGCACCCCTCAGGCCTCTCCCCGGCACTGACCCTGGAAGGAGCATTGTCACTTCTTCCGCCCCAGAGTCTATCCCCTGGGTGGCGAGGGCTGGGAGTGAACCTCTGTCTCCTTCCCATCTCCACCCCTGCTTTTGATTTTCTGTCTTCCTGCGCTGCCATGGAGATGAGGTCGCTCGCCCTCCCTGTCCCGGCGGGGCCCCACTCACTCCCTCCAGCGCGTCCTCCCTGCTGCAGCCGGCAGGCCTGTCCACCCCCCTCAGTTCAGGTAATATCCACGTGATTCTTCCAGCCGCTGGCTAGGGCCCTTGGGCAGCACGGGCACCCCCCCACCTCAGCCAGGGACCCCCCTCACAGCAACAAGGCAGCCTAGGGCCCCAGGCCTGTCGGCTCCCTGTCTCCCAGCACCCGCTTTTGGGAAAATGACCTTTCCTCTTTGAGCTGAACCACTCTGTCCATATTACACAGAAGCCATATTTGTACGGGGGCGGGGGGAGGGGCTGTTGTGCTGTGTGTGTCTGTCTGTGGGTGGGGGGAGGGGAGCAGGGAGGGGATCGTGTATCTTTATAATCTTTCTAACTCTCCTGTGCTAATCTCCGAGGGGCCACCCTCAATATATCTGGATTATCCGTGTCGTCCGGCTGCCTCCTTCTTGCTGCTCTTGCTCCAGTCGGGGTGTGTGCACGTGAGGGGGGTTCTGCTGGTGTCCCCTGCGCCTGGAACCCCCAGGGGTGGCCCCCTTTCCCAAGGGCATCCCTGCGCGGAGACAGCAGAGCTCTCCGAGGGAGAGCAGGCTGTTCATCCCCTCCGGCAGGGTCCTTGCTTTCTCGCATGGTTGGGGAGGGGTGTCTGCCTGCTCCCCGCTGCCCCCCCGCCGGGCAGTACCGGAGAAGGACACAATGACGGCAGAGATGCAGCTGGCCCCACAGCAGGACAGACCCTCCCCAGGGCTACTGAATAGCCCCGCTCACGTTGAACCTGAAACCGGAGCAGTCATCCTGGGAAGAAAGGGGATGGCGATCTGCGTAAGGCACCCACCTTTGCATCTCGGCTCCCCTACTCTGACTCCATGCACCCCTACCTGAATGCAAAAGGGCTTCCTGGTGAGATTGAGTTGAAACACCCCAGGCTTTCCTGGAATGAGATAGTGTCGCCTAACCAGCTCCTGAGACCCAGTGACTCACCCGTCCCGAAGTCCCGGCCGTTTCCCCACCCAAGAAAAGGCAGGGAAAGAGCAGAGACGGTGCAGAAGCCCTGGAGGGGTGAGGCTGTCCGGAGCAGAGGTGCGGGTTCAGGAGCCTGCATGTGCGGAGTAAATGCTTTCGCTCTGCCAGTCGGAGAGAAACAGAAGCCCCACCCCCGTAAGGAACCGCACACATCGCCGAGAGGCCCGCCAGTGAGGCCGTTCCAAGCCTTTCTGTCCCCCAACACAAATATGATCGAGAGCGCCCCATGGGCGACAGTCCCATTGTAGAATGTGCTGCCCCATTGTCCCCCAGCGCCTGCTTTAGCTCATCAGACAGCGCGTCATGCTTGGTATGGAGAATGCGTTCGCGGCGCCCGTAGGTGGCTAGACCAACGCCCAGCCGCTCCCCGAAGCAGCTTCCTCACACAGCCTTGATCGCTGGCCCCCAGCCCTTCCTGTCCTCACGTTGAAACACCAACACCCACCTACCACCTAGCCCTCGGCTATGTGCTCGCGACACACAACACACATAGCCACACACAGAGACGGCATGCACAGCACAGGGCTATCAACAGGGGCCAGTCCGACCTCAGGCACCACTCACAGCCCCTCCCTCGAATGTCCCCCTGGAGCTGTCTTTCTTTGGATCCAGTTCAAGGGGGTGGAGACTCAGTGAGAGTCATCAGCTACCCCTTCCCTCTGCCTTCCCAGCAGGTCTCTTATCTCTGCCTCACAAGTCACCCCTGGCCCCTCTTCCTTCCTGGTGCTCGAAGACTCCATCCCTGCTGGAAACCCCCCTGGCTTCTCAGCCCCCCTTTCCACCTTCGGGAAAACACCCGCTATCTGCGGGCCATCTTTTTCCTTTCCTGAGTGCAGGTCCCCACCAGTGAAATCCAACCTCAAAACAGGAAGCCCCGGGCTATTGCCCCTTCTGGGCCTGAGCTTGAGGCGGGCCATGGGTGTGGGGCGAAGGCTTCCTGAATGCCCGGCTCCCCCCCACTGCCTATCCCCTGGCCCTGCCCAGAACTGATGGCCTTCATTAGCCCCTGGCACTTATCTTGGAGCCACAGCCACCCACGGGACGTTCCCAGCCCTACTCTCTGCCTGCCCTTAGCCCAGCAGCGCCATGGGGAACTGCCTGCAGCACCAGGTGAGTGTGGGGCTGGGCCCACAGTCCCCCATCTCTTTGCCCCACCACCTCTTTCTGTCTGCCTCAGGGCCTTTGCACCTCTTTCCTTCTCCCCTCATCTCTTACCCTTCCCTCTGTTTCCTTCTCCTCCTTCTTACTCTGGTCTCCGGGGTCCCTCATCCATCCAGGTCCCTGGCGCCCTGGCCCTGACCTTGTCCGGCTCTCACAGCCTGTCCGTTCCCCTCCCCTACTCTTCCTCCCAGGCTCCGAGGCTCCTGTGCCATCCTTTCCTACTGTCCCCACTGCATTCCCTCCTCCAGGCTGGCCTCCGCTCTGTCTCCCCCTCCTGCTCCCTTTATTCCCAGGGACTCTTGAGTGGGGTAAACAGATGATCTGACTGTCCCCTCTGGGGCTGTCCTCCAGGTGGCGAATGAGGACTCTACTAAATTCACCTTCGAAGACGATATTTGGGATGACTTTAATGATTCCTATGGTCTGAACTATAACTACAGCAACGTGGACGCCGCTGCCCCCTGCCGCTCCTGCAGCCTGTTGGACGACTCCTCCTTGCCCTTCTTCATCCTCACCAGCGTCCTGGGCATCCTGGCTGGGGGAGCTGTCCTCTTCGCCCTCCTCAGACCTCTCTTCCACTGGCAGGCGTGCCCCGAACGGCCTTTCCTAGTACAGCTGGCCGTGGGCAGCACTCTCTTCAGCATTGCGGTGCCCTTCCTGGCCCCAGGGCTTAAGGAGCTCCAGGGCACCCCTCTGTGCCACCTGGCCCACATGGTCTGGTATGGCTCAGCCTTTGCCCAGGCTCTGCTGATAGGGTGCCATGCCTGCCTGGGCCCCAAAATGGGCACAGGTCAGGTCCCCAACCTCACCCTGAAGCTTGGTGTGGGACTCTGGGGAATGGCTGTCCTGCTGGGGCTGCCGGCCACCCTGGCCAGTGACACTTCTCATGGATTCTGCTCCCTGACATTCAGCAAGAGCCACTGGTTTCTGCCGCTGTTGCATGCCATCACCTGCTGTGCCATCTTCACCTTGCTGCCACTGGGTTTGCTAGGAGCCAAGGTGCTGACGAAAATATGGGGCAGGTGGCAGTGTCCCTGGACCAATGTCCTGTGGGCCTGGTTTGTGTTCTGGTGGCCTCATGGGGTAGCTGTGGGCTTGGACTTCCTCGTGAGGTCCAAGGCCTTGGTCCTGTGGACATGTCTGGCCCAGCAAGCTCTGGACTTGCTACAGCACCTGGCGGAGGCCCTGGCCATTCTGCACTGTGTGGCCACACCCCTCCTCCTGGCCCTGTCCTACCACCAGACCGCACGTGCCGCCCCGCCCCCCCTGCCCCTGCCTCTGAGACGGCCTTCTCATCTGGACACCCAGGGAGGCAAGTCCTAGCTCTCTTCCCGCCTGTCCACCTGAATTAAAGTCTACGCTGCTTTAATGAAGCTGTGGTTTCTTATTTTATCCGGGGATGTAGAGGAGAGGAAGGAGAATGGAGAGAAAGGCATTTCAGGCCAGACCCTGCTGCAGGCATCTGTTTCTCTAGCGGGCCTGGGGAGAAAGTGAA